GGCGGGCCCCGACGCACGGCGCTGCCGGCGCTTCTGGAGGACTGTGCAGGCGGGGCTGGGCTGCGCCGAGGACGGCCTGGCGCGCAAGCGCGCACGCTTCCTGCTGCGGCGCGCCCTGGACGTGTCGGCCGGGCAGGATGACTGCGCCTGCGCCTGCGGCTCTGAGGACCCAGACGGTATGGCCCTACCACCCCGTGCGCCTCTAACCCAGTTCCCCAGTCCCCGGACCGCATGGGTCGACGCATCGCTGCCGTCAGGACCCTGCACCCGGCTCACCTGGGAAGGAGGCAGGAGCTTGCAGTCCCGAAGGCCCACCTCCATGGGCAGATGTGGACCCGGCCGGTCGCAAGAGGCCACTCTCCTGCACTGGCCAGCGCGGTCAGTCTGCACCCAGGCCACCACGTGCTTGGGCATTCCCACTGGTGACGCCTGGAGCAGGATTTCCTGAGAGTTTTGAACACCTGTCATAAGTCGACCTTTTGAGGGTGCTTTTGCCTTGATTGAGTCGAATGCGGCAGAAGGATTTATGTATCTGCTTTTTGACGATTTGAGCTGTGCGCCCTACCACTCCTGCAGGGAGCCGGGCCTGGGGGCACTGTGGGGCAGGGGACCCCATGCTCACACCACAGACGTCTCAAGTCTGGCGCCACTAGATGGACTCGAAATTGTCTCGGTAGCAGAACATTTTTCAGCTGTGGCTGACGTTTTAAAGTTTAGGTACACAATTTGTGTTTGCCTAAAGTTATATTAGTTTTCATATCATTTTAAAACATTAGACAGTAAGTGTTTGAGACAGTCCACAAATAGGTGGTCATTCGTGAGAGTGTTCACTGGAAAATGCTTTAAAAACTTACAAAAGCTAAAACACTTATTTTAAAGAGCAGGCTATTCTTCAGAGTTTTATGCATAAGCAGTACTTCTGCCCCTTGCCGGTTTCTTCCAAGTCAGAAAGCACTTGGACCTCTTCTTACTGAGCATTTTTTTTTACCACTATGTCTTTATATATATATATATATATATATATATATACACACACACACACACACACACATACATATATATACACACGCACATATATATACACACACATATATATACACACACACATATATACACACACATACATATATATACACACACATATATACACACACATACATATATATATATACACACACATACATATATATATATACACACACATACATACACAATGTATCTTAGTTGTATCATAAAAATCCCTTGTCATAGCTGTTTGGTTACACGGCCCCTCCTTTCCAAGGTCATCGCTGTGTAAGTGCAGTTGCGGATGGTCTGTGTGGTCAGCTGTGATTATTTCTCCTTTTCTGCAAGTTTAGAGTAATTACATGATTTATAAATTTGTTTGATTCTCTCTGTACTGTGATTCCTAAACTCTGCCCTAAGTTCCCAGCCAGTTGTCTTAATCTTCCTATGCCATGTCAGAGCATCAGGAATTTAGTAAGTTCTGATGAGCCTCTCACAGCCTCCGCCGGCCGGATTGCCTCTCGGCCTCTGTCTGAGGCGGGCCGACCCTAGGCCTGTCCTCACAGTGCCCTGGGCGTCCCCATACCCGAGTCCTCGCCTTCTAGTCCGTATCGCCCTCTTTTTGGGTTTCTTACTGTGCCTGTGCAGGGCCGTCTCCTGCAGTTCCCTGATGGAGATTTGTAAAGATCACACGCCTCTGCTAGGACTGTCACACGGCCCTCGATGTCCGACACCGGACAACATTTCTGTCTGACTTGTTTAATGGTCTCCCAGCCCTGAAAAATCCCCATCTGCAGTCTGTTTGTGTGTGTATTTACTTTCCCTCCAGCTCTTTTACTGTTTTAAGGCTTCGCCAAAGGGCCTGTGCACTTGCCAGTGTGGGACAGAGGGAAAGTGAGAGACCACCTCCCAGGGGGACAGCCACACCTCAGCCCCTTCTCTTCTATTCTCCTGGGACTTGGGGCATGCATGCACATGCACATGGAGCTGGCATGATTTTCAGGCTGCCAGATCTGGGACTCTAACCACACGGTCAACCGTGTGGGAGTCTAATGTTTTAACTACCACGCCACCCGCTGGTCCCTGCTTTAACTACCACGCCACCTGCTGGTCCCTCCACTAGCTCTTAACATACTGAAGTCGGTCCGAGTCTGATGGCTGGGTGGTGTAAGTTTGCTTTGTTTTCTGTTTTATCTCTCTGCTTTGGCCTCAGCTTTTTCTGTCTTACAGAGACAGTAGCAATAGGAGTGAGTGTTTGGATCTGGGGGAGACTCCTCTCAGGCCCTGTGTGGGGCACTGGTTGGCGTAGTTTGCCACCACCGAGCCGGCTTAGCTGTCACCGAGGCTGTGTGCCTTTAGTACACTCTGGTCTTCAGGTTCCTCCGAGGTGGACGGTGGCTGCCCTGGTTATAGTGGGAAGCCTGGGGAGCCCGAAGGTTTTTCTCAAACCCCGATGCCTTTTATTGGGATGGGGATCTTCTTCCGGGTAGACCCAGAAGCCTGTTACTCGGTGCAGGGTTTGAGGTAGTGGCAGGGCCTTCTGTTCTCTGACACCAGCCTTGGTGGCGTAGGGGCCCCAGTCTGTGGGCTGCGGACCAGCCAGGGGCAGCCGTCTGTGGCATCGTCTGTGAGCTGAAGTACAGGTTACTCGTGTGTGCTAAGTATATATGGGTGCAAGCCCGAGGCATGGGAAGGGTTTCTGCATTCAGATACAGTCGTATGATCCTCCCGACTGTGCAGACCCGTCCACCCCCGCTGTTTAGCCACACACCCCAGTAACCTGTGTTTGTGGTCGCTGCGCTCTGGCTTTCTCTGGTCTTCTGGGCTTTGGCCTTTGAAACATCCTCTGTGGTAAGGGTGAGGTGCTCCAAGAATGGAGTTTATATGAGGGCTTCAAGAACTTGGTGGAAAACATGGAAATAAAGTACGAGTCTATCTTGGTATGATTTTTTTTTTAATCTAGGTATAGTTTTTTATAGTATGAGGGATCTTTTTGAAGATCTCATGTATTCTAACCTGTCATTCCTACCCAGAACCCCCAGTCATCTAAATTAAAAAAAATAAATAAATAAATAAACTGCATTTGAGATTCCCAACCTTCCTGTCTAAACTTTGACACACTCTCCGTTACTAGAGAGCACACTTGGTAATAGTGACATTATTTAAAGAACTGCTGTTATTAAGAAGCATATGAAATTTGCAAAATGACAAGCTAATTTCCTTTTTGAAACCCTGTTAGGACCAAGCCTGTTTTGGTGGTCTGAGAAGAAAAAAGATGAGCTTCTAAAGTTTTGGGAAAATTACATTTTAATTATGGAGACTCTGGAAGGAAATCAGGTAAGTGTTCTCATATTTTAGCAAACCCTACGAGAGACATGTTTCTTTTTTCCCCAAACAGTCAGTCATTAAAAGCAGTGCAAAGCCAGATTGGATACAGCATGATAGGACCCAAGAGCGTAGATGTAATCACAATAGAATGTACATTGTTTAAGGAAATTAACGAATACTTTCAGTTGTCCCAAACTGTCATTCAAAAAGCTTAGTCTTATGTTTAACCTCCTGTTGGGATTGTCGAACTTTGACACACTTTATCAGAACCACCAGGATGGCTTGTTATGAAGTGTAAATGGTTTGGCTGGCCCTTTCCTGGCCTTTCTGACTCAGGAGGTCTGGATGGCCTGAGACTTCATGGTTTAGACGTTCCCAGGTGACTCTGAGCGTGCCAGTCTGGAGACCACACTTCAGAATGCTTGGGAACGAGAGTGTTCCAGTTTTCAGATTTTGAAATACTTACACATGCATAATGAGATGCTTACGGACGGGACTCAAGTCCGTCTCCTTGGCAAGGGCACGTGCCCTATAGCAAATATGTTCATTTCATGTGATTTTGTGTTTTTGTTCTTATTTTTAGATACATGTTATAAAGCCAGTCTTACCAAAGCTAAACGGTCTCTTTGACTGCGCAGTGTCAGAGGAAACCGGTAACGTTACTTTGATTTCTATAGCATTTTCAGTTTATATGGCACGGGCTCACTGTAGAGCACTGGGAAAACCCAGGAAAGTGTAAGGGAGAAAATGCGGTCACCTGGCCATGCTGCCGCCAAGGGCGAGCCTGGCCCGCACTCCAGGTGTGGCCCTCTGGCAGTTTGGACGCGCCTTACTTGAGCGTCCGAGTCTACTCGCTGTACGCTCAGGTAGTCTCTAAGGCCCTGGTTTTGCGTGGCTGCAGGGTTTGCTAGAATTGAGAGGTATGGGTGTTGTTGTGAACATTGGCATATGCGGCATTTCAGACGTTTGCAGGAGGAAAGGTGTTAGGTCGCGCCCCCCCGGCAGCTGCCGCTCAGGCCAGCTGTGCTGCTCACACCTGAGGCCTTCCCTAGACGTCCCCTCATTTCATCTGTGCTCACGTCAGTCTGTGGCCTCGAGAGAGAAGAACTCTTATTTTAGTGAGAGTATATTCTACATTTGTAGTGACGGCCCTTTGGCACAAATACGTGTTTTTTCCTTTTTTTTTTTTTTGGCTGTAGGGCACGTGCGCTCGCCAGAAAGACAGAGACAGAGAGACAGCGAGAAATCGCCCTCCAGGTGGGATGGCCACACCGCAATCCCTTCTCCTCCGTTCTCCTCTCGGGATCTTGGGCACACACGCACATGCGCCAGGCATGAGTTTAAGCCACCAGATCCAGGACTCAAACCGCGGTCGACTACATGAGAATCCAGCAACATAGCTGTTATGCCAACTGCTGGTCCCCAATTACGTATTTTAACCACTTTGCATTTTTATTTTCTTATATTGGTTTCAATGTTAAAGTTTTTGTTATTTTTGGTATAGGGCGTGTGTACTTGCTGAAGAGAGACAGAAGGAAAGTAAGAGCTCACCCCCCGGGGAGGCCACGCTGCAGTCCCTTCTCCGTTCTCCTCTTGGGATTTTGGGCAAGCACACACTTGTGTCTGGCACAATTTTCAAACTGTCAGGCCTGGGACTTGAACCATGGTCGCACATAGAAATCCAGCACCTTAACTACCACTCCATGTGCTGCCCCCCCTTTTTAATCTCAATAATTCTTTTGTATCTTGGACTTCTTAGGAAGAGAAAATTCCAAAATATAATTTTAAATCTGAGTCTTAAGCCCTAATCACTGCTGTGCTGCGAGGCCTTCTTAGGAGAAATAAAACGAAGCTGGAGCTTCCTCAGATCATCTTAGGAAATTAAGTTCAGACCCATGAAACGGCCAGAGGCAGACACGCGTGATTTGGCTCCACACGGATGAGAAGAGCTGCATCACCTGCTTGCGCGCTTGGCCCTGCAGACAGCTTTCAGTGCCTGCCCTGCGTAATCGCAGCTTTACTAGTTTGACCCCGGAATCCAGCTTTGTCCCCGGTCGCTGCAGCTTTTCTGATACACTGGGACGTTCCACTGACCGCAGGCATCTGCGGCCCCCTGGGGCTAGGGCTCAACGGAGTCCTGTAGAGTCCTCACTAGCTCATCCCCAGTATGCGTCCTGTTACCTACCCTTCTACCCACAGCTCTCAGCAAACCCAATAAAATAGGCATCACTGAGTTTGAGGAATTACCATTGCCAGAGGCGAGCAGGTGTCTCGGTGTAAACTGCAAATAATGAAACCGTTTCTAGAATGTCATGAGTTAAAAATGCCGAGTGCCTTTTTCTTAGTGAGAGGGTATTTCAGAGAGTGAGGAAAGCATGTGAGGTGCCATCCGTTGCAGCTGCCGTCGGCTCCCTGCTCTGTGCCGAGCAGACTGTCCAGCGTGTGCTGAGCACCGGGAGAGCGGGGGACGCACACCCTGTAGTCTTCGCTTTTTGTCCAGTTTTCAGGAAGAAGGAGTTCTGGTTCTGAATCTGAGTCAGCAGCCGGTGCTGAGCTGGAGCACATGGTGGGGTGCATGGGGACAGGGTCTGCACGTAGGCTGCAGGAGCAGGCAGTGCCCGTGGGACAGTGGGGGACCAGGGACCTGGGCCTGCCGCAGTGTGGGCTCTCGGGGCCACCCAGGCCTCATTCGGATTTTATTCTAGGAGCAAGGGGGAGCTATCCACGAGCCCTGAGCAGCGGAGTTTATATGTGAGAAGTGGGACGAAGGGGTGAGGGAAGAGTTGGTAGAAGCCACCCAAGTCTAACGTTCCAATCTATGTGCCTGGGGCCACACGTGACTTCTGTGCCCTAGAGCAGCTGTGACATTCATGGTCTCCGTGAAACTGCCTGGACTGAGATTGCTTTGGTTGTTCGGTAGTTAAACTCCCTGGGTGTGATAAAAAGCACTTCGCTTTGGTGGTGTGATCAGGGAGCTGGGGTGGCCGGCATGCGTGTGGCTGTGAGCTTCCGGTCCCGTGGGGACATCACAACCGAGCCCCATTGTCTGTCCCCCAGGGAGCTGGCTCTTCCACCCGTCTTGGCACGTGTGCATTTACAAGAGAATGTTGGAGAGCGAAAGCAAAGTCCTGACCAAGGAAGCCGTTACTCACTTTCTGGAGCTGTACGGGTCCAGGCGTCTTCCATCTTCACCCGCGTTTTCCGAGGTAACGGCAGCTCACCCCTCCCCTGCTCTGAGAACAGGTGCAGCGTAACAGCATTTGCTGTGTTGTATGTGAGACTCAGAAACATGCACCTGGGCTCCATCAGCCAGTGATGGTCCACAGCGTGTATGCAAGGTTCCGTGTCCTGTAAACTAGCCACCCTCTCCATGTTAACACTTACGTCATAGTCGGAAACTTACACTGCGAGGGAGAAATCGCTCTGTTTGGGAACAGCTTGCGTCGGGCGTGGAGGAGCTGAAAGGCAGGTCTAGGGCATCTGTGTCCTGGTGACGCTGCCTCGGTTCCGAGTCACCGCGTGATGTCCTGGCCTATTCCCCGGCCTGAGCCCCACATGTTGGCTGCGGTCTGAAGCAGAGGCTGCCTCCTGCCTCCTGAGTGTCTTTGTTTGTTCTGGACTTGGCTTCCTGGAGCAGCCAAGCGCTCCGTGTGGGGCGTGGCAGCCCCGGTGCTGGTCCCCTCGCGTGTAGGGCCTCGCGTGTTCCGAGGCAACTGTGCTGTAGAATTTCCACTTGCACCGTCTTCCTGGCCTTGGCCTTCATGTGTCTCAGCTTGCTTCCAACTGGTGCTCTTAGCGTCCAGCCCGCACCCCTCTGCCTCTTCTCGGGGTCTCCCCGTGCTCGCTGTCGCTGCCTTTATTTCCAGCATGTGTTTCCGGTCTCTTCTTTGGGTTCCTTTCCTCTTTCTGGACCCAGCAATGAACTCTCTCCTTCACGTGCTGGGTTTCACCGGGTCGGGCAGTTCCCTCCGTGCCTTGTCGTCCAATGAGAACGAAGACACCCCGGGAGAGGCCGGCTGCCTACGCGTGTCCGCACCCCAGGCGTGCACTCTGACCGCTGGGCTTCTCAGCTCCACCTACGACTCCAAACCGATTGCATGTCTTGTTTTTGTTTTTCTTTTAGTTTGTTATTGGACCACTAATGGACGCCCTCTCAGAGAGCTCTCTGTACAGCAGGTAAACACCGGCTCCTCGGCAAGGCGGTGCTGCGTGTGACGGCCGAGACGTGCCAGCCTGTTTCGGGTGGGGCACCAGGAGCCCCTCTATCATTGCCCTCCCTGCATCCTGTCACCCTGTCACAGTCCTCTCGCTTTCCCGGTTTCTGTCCTACTCAAACTCTCGCTCCTGGGCTGTTGGAAGTGGCGTCTGGGGCAGCCACTTCCCCTCCTCTGCTCAGTCCTCTTGGGCGTCCAGCGACCTTGGCTAACCAGCACTTCACACGTCTCCTGTCGGCTTTTCCCTTTAACCTGGTTTCCTTTCAGACGTGGGGAAAAGCCGCGAGACTCGTACAGACTGCGTGCCCTTCCATGCTGTTCCGCCAGTGCTGACGGCGCAGCAGAGCCACTAACTGCTCCTCCCCGCACGTGTGCACGTGTGCGCGTGTGTGTGTGTGTGTGCACGTGCACGCACACGGGTGCATCTCTTTCTTAGCTCTGTCTGCTTACCAGACCACCTGCCTGTGCCTTCTCCAGTGTCCGTCTGTCCATTCATCTGTCCGTATTAAGAACTCAGTACATCGAACTTCAGGCCCTGCTGCCGGGCACCTGCGAAGCCGGCTCTTCCGTAGCTGACAGTGGCCGCCCCCATCCTAGTAGAGCCACATCCTGCCGCTCGTGCCTTCCGAGTGGTTGGCTGTGTGAAGAGGGTCCGTGTTCGCCAAGCCTCGTTTCTTTGGTCATTTTCTATGCTCTGGATTAGCCTTCAGAAACGTCCCTACTTTCCACGTTACACTGTCCTAGTACTGCTCGTTACATTCATGGTGGGTACTGTCGTCTGTTAGACCTTTACAAAGAAGACAATGCCCACCTGCCAGTTTCTTCAAAACTTGTAACCTCCGCGAAGTCAGCAGCGTTTAGTTCTGTCTAGCAGGTGTGAAGGAATACAGCGACGCTCGGTTGGCTTTTTACTTTATGAGCGATCATAATTTACTTGTTCTCCGAAGCAGCCCAACAGCTGGAGAGCATGAAAAACACGGGAAAAGTCTTGGTGCTTCCAAAGAGTCAGCAAACACGTGCATTACGGAACGCCTCTGGCTCTAGCTTCCTGTGCGCTCCGCTAATAACACTGTTGCTGGCGGGCAGGCAGTGAGGACATGCGGCTTTGGCGCGAGTCAGCATCGGCACGCTCTTACAAAAGGGATGGCGAGGGACCAGCAGTCAGCGTGACGGCTGTGCCACTGCACTCCCACGTAGTCAGCCATGATTCGAGTCCCGACCCGGTGGCTTAAACTCACACCGTGCACGTGCGTGCGCAAGATCCCAAGAGGAGAATGGAGGAGAAGGGATTGCGGCATGGCCATCCCCCCCGGAGGGTGATTTCTCGCTTTCTGTCTCTCTGTCTCTCTCTGTCTTTCTGGCAAGTGCACACGCCCTATAGCAAAAACCTCTCCCCTCCAAAAAAAAAAAAAGGGACGGCCACAGACGCGTGTCTTAGCTGGCAGTGTTCTTATATTATAGACTTAAGATTGAAAGTCGCTGGGTTGTATGTTAGAAACGGGAAAGTGTAATTTGAACTATTACTAGTTTCAGGCTGCCGTTGTTATGACACTGTTTAGCAAGACCGATCCGTGTGTACCCATGAACGAGTGTCACAGAAAGGAAACCCATGTGCCTACCTGGTAGAGGAGGCCATTACCTCATAGCCTGTTTCCTAGAAGATCCTCATTTTTATGTAGCCAGAAAAATTCTCAGACTTTTACTGAAAAATCAAATGCAGGTTTAGAAAAAAGATCATCTGCTCGTTCTGTTGGAAAGCTTCCGGGCCGTCATCCTTGTGGGCGAGGTCCCGCATTCCCATTCATGAGCGGGTTTTCACATTGAATTTTCCTGTCTTGCTCTGCAGGTCTCCAGGCCAGCCGGCAGGAAGTGCTGCTCCTCTGGGATGCAAATTGCAGACGTTTTTAGTCACTTACGTTTCTCTTCTTCCAGAAGAAATAAAGAGTACGTGTCAGGGAAGAGTTTTTTTCTTAAATATCAGCTTAAAATTTTTAAAGAACTTTAGCACATTGGTCAAAGCACCGTCCTATTAGAACCAATATTTTCAAAATGGCCTTCTTGTTACGGGATGTGCACTGCATGTCAGATTGGACAGGGGTCCACGGGGACACTCCGTTTGCCACTGTAGGCAGTGTGCATGCGGGGACTTCAAAAGGTGCAAGGAGGGACCAGTAGTTAGCGTAATGGCTATGTTGCTGGACTCCCATGTAGTCGACCGCGGTTGGAGTCCCAGACCCGGTGGCTTAAACTCACTCCGGGTGCATGTGCGTGAGTACCCAAGATCCCGAGAGGAGAATGGAGGAGAAGGGATTGTGACATGGCCATCCCCCCTGGGGGGTGATTTCTCCCTTTCTGTCTCTCTGTCTCTGTCTGTCTGGCGAGCACACATGCCCACTAGCAAAAACCTCTCCAAAAAAAAAAAAAAAAGTGCATGGAAATGCATGTCACGGAAGTATTACGCATGGAGTTCAGACATTTTTGTCCCAGAACAACTCACACTTGAGCTGCGTCCTCCCATTTTTTGAAGTCCCCGCACGAGTAGTGTGGAAGAAATCTCAGTAAGTGCAGGCCTTCTCGGAGGCTGCAGCTGATTTTCAGTTGTCTGCTGGTCGGTGTCAAGAGTTAGTAAAAGGCTGAAGAAAGATGCTGGGTTTAGGAGACGGTTGTAATCCCATGACACTCTTCGTGGCAAGCCGTCACCCTCGATACCAATGTGGAAGGACCGAGAAGCGGCCCGGCCACGGTGGGCAAGCTGCTGGGACACTGGCTCCCTGCGGCCAAGGCTGGGTGCTCGGGCCTGGGGCGCCAGGGCCTCCCTCGAGGGCCGCAAGCTTGAGTCCTGAGTCCCCGCCAGCTGGCAGGTGGGTGGGGCGTCCCGTTCACGGCCTTGCCCTGCTGGGGTCCTTTCATCCCTACCTTTGTGACTTTAAAAGTGACCCGGTGTGAGGTAAGAACTTTTCCCTTTGTATTTAGTCTGAGAAGAGGGGGCAGGTGGCCACTGGTAATATCTGCTCAGAGGCCAGGGGCGGGGTGGGGTCTCTGTCGCGGCCCAGTCTGTAGGAAATGGCTAGTCTTGATTCCTTTAAAGAACCACTGGCGAAGAAGGTGGTTATGCCGTGAGCACCACACCTCAGTGTCTCAGTGTCAGGCCCGGCATTCACCTCTAGGGACCACCGGGGGGCCCCTTGCCTGCAGCATACCTAGCGACGGCCGTCTGGCACCTCCGTTGCGTGCCTGGGGTTGGGGCTGGGCTCGTCACAGACACTTGGTCACTGCAGGGCACAGTCGTGGGTGGGAGATGTGGCCGCACACGAGGCATTAGGAGGTGACATTGGGCAGAGGGAAGAGGGCGGTTGCCGTTTGCGCTCATGGCCCTGACCTGGGGCTCTGATGGTTCCTGGGTGGCTCGTGCTATGCGGGGACTGGGACGGTGACACTGAGCCTCTGAAGGGGTCTCAGTGTCACCTCTGGGGCTCTGAGAAGGCAGCCTGAGCCGGCAGCCACTGCCTGTCCTTTTGACGTCCCACCTGGCTTTGAGGTCCCCTGATGACTGGGGTGCTGAGCGCCGTGCTGTGTGTGGGCGGCTGTGACATGTCGAACTCTCCGTCTCAGGTAGTTTTCTGCTCAGCTTCATCCGGAAGATGACCAGCAGACACTGGAGCGCTGTCCCCATTTTGTCTCTCTCCAAGGCTTTGGCGAGTGTCCCACGCTGCGGAGCCCTGGGTGTGGACGGGCTCCTTGCTCTCAGGTAATGGTCCGTGTGCAGCCACGTGTCACTCGTCACGGCGTTCCTGCAGCCCGTGTGGTGTGCCCTGTGCCCGAGTTAGGGTTGCCATTGGGATGTCTGAGGCCCTGACTTTATAAGGAAGTCAAACGTTTCCTAACGGCTCAACTCTGTGCTGTGAGTTACTGGCTTAGCGGTGTGCGAGGTAGGAGCTGCTGGGTTTGACTCCTTTAAATAGGCCAGTTACATTGATAAATGGAGAACTAAAGGTAATATCAAATAGCACTATTGTCTGGGAAGTATTTCAACAAATGTAGAATTCTTACTTTAAAAGTGTCGTCATTTATAGTCTTTTTTTTTTTTTTTTAGGTTTTGCCATAGGGCACTTATGCTTGCCAGAGAGAGACAGAGGGAAAGTGAAAAGTCAGCCCCGGAGGGATGGCTATGCCACATCCCTTCTCCTCCAGTCTTCTCTTGGGATTTTGGGTACACACGCACATGCTCCTGGTTTGATTTTCAAGCCACCAGGTCCAGGGCTCAAACTGCAGTCTGCCATGCGGGAGTCCAGGACCTTAACCACCACGCCACCTGCTGGCTCCTATAGTCTTATTTTTAAAAGAGACTTATTTCATCTTTAAATTGAGCTATGTGAGAGGCCATGATGGAAAATAGTAGCTTCGAAGCGTGGCAGCCAGCGACCTCCCCCAGAAACTGTAGCTGCGTACACCGGGTTGTCGCACAG